TGCGAGTTTTAATTATTTAGAAACGATCAAAAATCTATTTTATAAACAAAGACATAACAAGTCCAGGTTGCTGCCGATCGAGTGACCAATAGTATTTAATCTGAAGCTATTTCGTTTGGCCGAAATCATAGTATTTATTTTCCCGGCCTGTACACCGACTGTGGCCGTGTAGACGAAGGCTATGACCTAACTGGGCCACACAACGACGTGAAAGCATAGCAACGATATTTTGAATGCATAATAATGTACTACTTTTGGACAGCATAAATTGGTTGCGTCATTCAAGGTACAGACTGATTGAACATTATAGCTTGACACTTTTGATTTATAATATATTTGCATTAAATTGTCCCACTTCCGGCTTCTTTAAAGAAGAAATATCGAAAGCCAAATTAATGATCTGATCTTGACCTTGCACATTTATTTTTATGTGGCATTGAATCGATTTGTTGGTGAATATTTTTTTTTTCATTTTAGGCCATTTTATTTTTTAATACATGTATGTCCATAATATTCTTGTCAATATTTTTTTTGAATACCTTGTCTGGAAACAAATACTACTAAATCAGAATGCATTACACTGGCCTTCAACATACCATACCATCCTATCTGGTGCAAACCAGTGTCTAATAATATCATATCTAACTATAATATTTTCAGACTTGTGCAAGTTAATGTCTGTGAATATTATCTGGTGCCTGCCACTGTCTGATCTAATAGACACATACTATAGTATCCACTATACTGTCTAGTTTCTCCATTTAACAAATACTGTACAGAAAAAACAGACAAATATGTGCCAAGGACAAAACAATAAACATATGTCACTGATGGGACGAAGGTTGTTCTTCACCAATAAATCAAAGTAAATGTTAGAGCATACAGAAATTGTTTTGTTATATTATACAGATTATCATACCTATATATATATCTTATATAAGTAGACATAGGTCAGGCAACTTGTGTTTGCGACCCGGAATTAAATGGTGCATCTATGACATATAGAATAGATGTTGCAGTGCATATTCTTCTAATGAATGCCCCTAATAACACTGCTAGTCATTGAGCTCATACAATACATGTATTATAGTTGTTTATTGCATTGAAACACTTATAAATTGCATGAAATGTGCTCTTCATTCACCATGCATTTCACCAGCCAAGCAATCCAAATAAAACAATGGTACAGACCCTGTTAGTTATCAAATTTAAGATATATAGTTTTGTTTATAGTAAAATAGCTGGAATATAACCATGTCAGGAATATGACTGTTAGAGTAACTTATGGTCATCTTGTGATTGTATAATACCAGGTATTAAATTATTTGTGTGAGAGGAGTGTCTTTGGATACAGACATATATATCATGTAAAGTATCCCGGTCCATTCAAAATAAACGTTAAGGGAATAATGGCAATCATCAAAATCTGCTCTGTGTGTAATTAGTCATCTCCATCAGTATCTGTGTCACTGTCATAGATATATAATGCTGCTATTGTTAGAGGGTTGGTACAACGAAGTTGGGCTTTGCAGGAACATGCCGCTGTACATGGCTGGTTGTTGTCGAGACATGTACAGTTTGTTTGGCAAGAATTGTCTTTGCAGGTACACAGCAAATCATTCATGACTTCCGGTGCTGCTGGTTCCTGATCCATCATGCATGGCTGTATGGAATTGTCGGCTTCCCTAAAGTATCCATACGCTGTTGGTTCTGGGATATCAGGGATGGTGATATCTGCTTGCCTCCATATGATCAATTGATATGCAGTGCGTAGAATATGCTGTTGGAAGCTGTTTTCAATTGGGGAAGTTTCTTAGGTGTAATCTGCTTTTCTGCTTTTTTACACCGCAAGGTATCGAGCGAGACACATCCGGCCTGGTCATACAAAGCACCTGCAAATGCAGTGCCAGCAGTCCTCTGCTGTCTGGATATCTGCAATTCGTCCCCAAGATTGGTAAGTGGATGGAACAGATTCGCTTTCTGTATCATAATTCTGAAGGTCTATGAAATGCACTAACCGTGTCACACCCAGTAAGGCAGTATACAGCAAGGAGAATATTGCGCTGCTCTTGGCTGAGCTGTTCAAATTGGGTATGCACAGGGATATATCTAGTAGGAGGAAGAATATTGTTCTGGCATGAATAGCTGACCGATGATGCACAAGCAAAACAAGAACATCTGTGTCCAGGCTGTGGAAAACAATCTGCTCTGCACCTTCATTGGCTGCGAGTACAGCATGAAGCACAATCCATGTGTCAGCTTTTTCCTGTGATGATGCCAGTGATGGACAGGGCGGGGATTGCTGGCTGACTATCTATTCTCAGATCCCTGTCGATCTGACCCCTACTGATATACAGTACCTGGTTCTCCTCAAGAAGATGACCCGCATGATCAGTCAGTATAACACCTGGCAAGCTAAGCTTTGTTTTGTTCTCTGCTGAGAAATGCACGCCATACTTTCAGTATCTGCATGTCCAAACTTACACGATATTCATGGCCCTGGGTTAATGTTGATTCTATTGTCTCTAGTCTGGTTTTTGATGCTGTCATCATATCAGTCAAATGCAATGTGAATGGAAGTGCTGGCATGTTTGTTGCTCCTCTGGATAATATATTGCATGAAGTTAGCTGCCACATCCCTGAAGGTGACATTTGCCGAAGAAGCAGATGGAGGAAGCATCTGAATGATGGCATGTCCATCGAAGATAATGACATCACAATGACCCACAGTGCTCTCATCACCGGGCAGGAGGTCTTCAGGTTTGTGCAAGAAATCAGTCTATGCACAGGACAAAGGTGTACCATCATCTGAAAATAAACTGGAACTGGGGCGTTTTCGTAAGCCATCACTCCATGGAGAGGTACTCGTTTTACAGCATTCACTGCCAGTAGCTGTATGTACATCACTTCCCCCGAAATTGACACATTCTTTGCATGAACCCTGACAGACTTGTTCATGTCAGACATAGTCTTAATGTTTGATCTGGGTAATGCATCGTACAAGCTCCTTTTTGAAGTGCTGTTGTCAAACATTGTTCTACCTGTGCAGAAGCAACACAACCAGTTGCAAAGTTTATGAGGTTAGGAGGTGGCTCTCTCAGATTGAATGAGTCCGCAAAGGTTCCATCAAACATGCTCTTCATCTTTGTGACATCTGTGTTCCAGCGTCAGATCTCTGTATTGGTTGTACTGCCTCCTTGTGCAGACTCTTGTGTAAGAATATCTGTCACTGTGTCGGAAGGACCTGGTTCAGTGATTGAGGCACACAGATCCCCAAGTAAGTTGTTGAATTGCTCAGGTAATTGTAGCTTTTTTTCCTCGCACCACTGCTGGAACTGCAGTACTTCGTCAACAAGTTTCATGGCATACACTCCTCTGTCAAAGTCTTTGCCTGAGAGACTTTGTTGTGATGACCCTGCAGCAAACACCCCAGAGTCATGTAGAAGGTGCTTGAGGCCAGCATCACCATAGAGAAATCCGATTCCTGAGAACACGGACATAGACAAGAGCATCCAAACGCCAACAGCAGGAATGACACTGGGAAGCTCATTTCGATGTAACCAAACAATCTCCAGTGCTTTGGTCATGTCAAAACATACTGTGATGTGTGAGTGGCTAAGTGTAGAAGCCTCCTGTAGTCGCACCAGAGTAGTGTAGATGATTACAGGATCATTTGGCGGAGCCATAAGGATAGGGTTGAATGCAACAGCAGACACACCCTGTGTTTGATCACTGGACAGTTTCATGTGGTATTGTCTCCATGGAGGAATAACTGTCTCTTGTGTAATGTGCATATTGTGTACCAGTTCAGTTGTACATGCATCTGCAACATCTCTAATGCTAGACAGTTATTCAAGCTCTTCTATATATATGTATATATATGTGTGTGTTTGTTAGGGAGAACAAGCAGCCTCTCGGCTGAGATAGCTCCGCTGTTAGCAATGCACATTTCAATTAAACTAACAGAAGATATCATTAGAAAATGAACAATATGCATAGTATCAATCCAATTGGACTTGCTGTTTTCAACAAGAATTCAAAAATATCATTTTTTACCATAAATGATTGTGGTTTTTAACAAGAAGAAAATATCACTTCAAAATTAGAGAATTCAAGATATCATCATGAAATGAACAAATTTGAGAGTGGTCCACATGTAGTACCTATATATGTAATATCAAAGCAATTGGACTTGTCTCTTTTAACAAGAAGTTGAAAATATCACTTTTTACCAAAAATGACACAAATATTCACCAAAATTAGAGAATTGAAGATATGATCATGAAATGAACAAATCTGAGAGAGATTTACCCAAGGTACATATACACCAAGTATCAAAGCATTCAGACTTGTAGTTTTCAAGAAGAAGTCGAAAAAGTAAAACATTGACACGGACGACAGACGATCACTCATATGATAAGCTAAAAAAGCAAAATTGTGTGCAAATCTATTGCAGATGTATAGAAAGTACAAGGACTTTTCAAGAAGAATGCACAATAAAATGTTGCTATCAACATATTGATTTACCAACCTGACTCTATGGTCAAACAAAAACTGTAATTATTTAAATAAAACGGTATTTTACTAAGCATAGTTTGATCAATATCTTTCAAGCGAACCATGAATATACTATACGGTGAAAACATACTATTGGTCACGTGATCATTTGACCTCTGCTGACCTTTGCCTCTGACCTATAAACACATAACTTACAAAGTCTAAAAGGCTATCAATATAGCTTCACAATGGTATATAGGTTTTTAAGATAGAGTAATTAGAAGGAATTATATGAGGATTTATGTTCCCCCTACCCTCATTTTATAGTACCGCTAGCGACTGTTTTGCCGATTCTACATTACCGAATTCAAACCTCTCAGCTCGCCAGCATTTCCCAAAATGCCCATAGGCTGTTTCATACTCTAGACATGTTGTCCTTCAAATTTATAGTTGGCAATCCTATCATTTCATTGGATGTAAAAAAGAAATAAAGAATACAGAAGTAATAACTGTTCGTTTATTCTTGTTCACTATTCACTAGATTACATATGGTACTACATACAATACTGATATACCGGTAAGGCTAATTTACATTCATTACAAAACGTCAAATATTGACGTAGGCAAAACCACTAATTTAACCATGTTTCATGACATGATTTCATCCATCATATTTATTAAAAAAAACAATAAAAATGATGTATATGACGTTTGTAGGTAACAGAATGAACATCAAGTAGATACAGAGCACTGTACTCATTTAGATGGAAAGGCAGGTGGCAGGGACAGAGAAATTCATGACAAATTTCTGGAAATACAGACTTCAAGTGACTGTAATTCTTGAGTGTATATTCTAAGGTGAATACAGATAAAGCTTCACAAGTAATTCTCATTCTGTGGTGTTCAAAATCGTGAATGTTTCATTCATTCACATATAGTTAACTAGGTAACAAAAGACCAAAAGTAACACATTAGTAGATGATACAATTGTTCTCATTAGTAGAAAACATTCTAATACTTGAGATAACGCCAAATTCTCAATAACTGTAAAATCCAGAAGGAGTAAAATCAGGTAGGAATAAAATTGAATATTCACATGTCTAATGAGGTTAGGAAAAAAAGGACAAAGGAGATCACACTTTTCTATTTGAGATTATCTTCTAACAAGTGAACCTGGTCGTCTTTGCTGCTGTTGTCTTGTTTCATCCAACTGACCCTTCACATCTTTGTGGATTTTCAGAAGACTTTCCTAAGTGAAAATATCAAAAGCAAGTTACTTAGAGAAACATAAGATGTGTGTATTTCCGTGTGCATGTTTAGGTAAGTAAAGTAAGTGAGTGTCTATTGATGGTACTATAAATTGATTACAGACAGGGTCAAATATATGTTATGTTTTACACAATGAATAAAGATTGTTTTCACTATCTCCACCAGAGTTTGAGGCGATATTTTTCAAACATCAACCCAAATCAACTTTTGTCATCTTTCACAAAAACAAAGAAAAATTGTATTTTTTTCCGAAATTGTTATCAAGATCTTTAGCAATAGAAAATTATGTCCATTTGGTTTGAAATAATCAACAAAGTTATAGAAATATAAGGAAAATGATGCACCAAAAAGTTGTCACAAAAAATTATTTAAAAAGTTACAATTGTTGGTAAGAGTACTCACCCTTTCTTCCATCAGCATTGTATAGTCTTCTAGTATTTTAGAACTATTCTGCTGATCCTTCCAGTCTTGATCTAATTCATTTGCCAATTCACGTCTAATGACAACAAAATAACACTATTTGATTAACAGACGATTTAATGACAAGGCCTATCTGGTGGTAACCAAGTCTGGTCAAAGCAACTTGCCGTCTACAGTTCATCTGTTTTGATGCTTCTCAAGTACGGTAAAAGACAGTCAGTGTTACTGGTTAGCAACGAGCATGTGATCAGTTGATAAATAATGATAATGCAAATGGCAAAAAAAATCTTACAAGATTTGTGACTGTGTATTCATTTGAGTTCAGTGATGGGATAAGCATGGGAATCAATTTCTGCCATGCACTTTAGTAATATGTAAGAAACAAAGGAAAGTTCTCAAATGGAGCGTCTTTTGTTTTGTTACCATTTGCTCAAACAACTAGAAAATCACTAAGAGTTGTTTGTGTTAACGTATGACTAATGTTAGATAACACATACATTGTGCATGAATGCTTGTCATTAATTTGAACTATCAATGTGATATTTTATGCGTTTTAGATGGAAAGTTTTCTGCATTCTTCCAATAATTTTGTTTATTCATTCCACAGGACTCACTCTTTGAGGTAAATTTCAGTCATCCAGCGATAAATACAAAGCCTGTTGTGACAAAGATACTGTAATTTTTAATGATTACTGAGGACAGGACACAGGGCTGACTGTTTTACAGCACCTTTGATTGGATGCCACTCTTTGAAACTATGATTGCCTCGCAAATTGGCAAAATGTACTCTTTTTTTTCACTTCTGAGTGTGCAGCTAACCAAGGAAGTCAAGCCTGTAATCTCCCTAATTACGTCGAGGTCACACAAACGATACGTAAGACAATGACATATTAGACACAATTGTTGTTTTTGGATGCATATTTGTGTGTTAACATTTCAGACACTTGAATAAATTTTCAGAATCTTAATTGTAAGTACCAGTAATGCTTAGTAGCACTATTATGGTATACTTGTATAACAAAATGATAACATACTTTCTCTGATGCAGTAATGCCAACTCTGTCTGTACTCTTAGATACTCATGTGCCATCTGGAAACAAAGACCATTATATACACTATGAAAACTGCACATGATAACAATACATTACATTCATACAATATTCATTCATGTGTGACTGCAATATGCGCTTAGAGCTAATTTAGGTTAAGCGCAATATAAATACTCATTATTATTATTATTATTATTATTATTATTCACATCCACAGTGGTATGTGTCTGTGACATAATGCTAAAAGCTGTTTCCTTTCAGTATACGCATCTTCATTCAAGAATCACAGTTCATTATAACATATGAAGCAACATATTCTGTTTGTCTAATCCAGCAGCGACCTCGCAACACATTTTATCAATTCATTTATTCTGTTCTTACCTTGCAATGCAAGTCAAATACTTCCATGGATTGTTCAGATGATGTACACGGTGGCAATGGCTGAAAATTCAGAACATATTATGATTAGATCAGGGCTTTCACAAATGCATTTAATAGCAGGCCATCATCCTTTAACAACAGGCCAAAAAATATATGAAATGCTCTCAGCAATGCAAAACGCTGCAGCACGGCCGAGAGAGCAGAGAGTAGACAGCCAAATTGGGCTTATAGCAGGCCATATGGCCGGCGGCCGACTCTTAGCAAAACTTCGTATTAGATTAATTAGATTAACTGTATTTGCTTTATTAGTACTGCATACACCTATGGTAAATGACAGAGGTGAGTCTATACCCATACATGTACATAATAGGTCAGTAAGCAATCCAACTGTTGGTTTACATGTGCTTCTATGAGACTAATAGACCAAATACAAATATCAAGGTCAGATTTCCAGTCAATTTCTAGAAAGTATGCAAGTGTAAATATGCCTTAGTCGTTGATCCACAGCATATTCACATCAGGCGTTATTTATTTCAGCTTCTCACTCAGCCCTGTAATGAATTCTGCTATTAAAGCAGAATGAGGTGGATGCATCAGACACAATACACTGAATGTGAATGCATATACATGTACCAGCAATAACCTAACCTTGATTCCTCTCAGACGATATTTTAATCAAATTACAGCAAATTTGAATAGAGTAATGGATATTTTTTATAGATAAGTCAAGGATTTGGCACTTATTGATTCGTGATTCTCCTGTTTGATTCAAAACTGTGCGAATCAATGCATGTCCACCTAATTTTGCTAGAGCAGGATCCATAGGAGTGTTGAGTGGGCAACATATGACCGAAAACAGCATGATTCAAAGTTGATACTTAATAATTTACATAAATACAATATTTTCATATTCTGTATTTCCATGTGTGTGCTATGAATTATTATTACTACTATGACTATATATACTGTTGTGTTAAAATCATATTTAGGTCAAGACGTGATTACTACAAAGAAGTTCCACTCAGAGACATCAAGTACTAGTACTTTGGGGGAAATACAAGCTTTGTCAATTCTTAGGTAATAATGGATACAAATTAGGTGTTCACATTTTTTGTGAGATAGCTACAATTATAGTAAATGGTGACTTTGTGTATCAGCATCACGTTGGCCCAAATACATTCTCTATGCAAAGCACTAACAAAAGAAACCAATTTATTTTGTGTGAGCAGTCTGCAATATGTGTACCTACCCACCTGTAGATGGTGATCTAGTGTCAGGTATGCCATTGGAATATACTCCTCAGCTATAACAAATACAAATATGTCAAATTATTAGTATAAATTATTTATTCCAAGCCTAAAGTCTACTAAAAAATACACTACAAACACACAACATTAATATATACATCACCTAAAATTATTACAAATACTTGATGCCCATAATGTGAATTTTATGTTATGTTGTGTTGTCTTTAATTCAATATGCCTCGCATATCTACATTATCATTCTATCATTTATTCAAAGTGGGTTCCCCTCAGGATACTTTTATAACAGTTGCAATTATTCCATTAGAAGGTGTACTAGCTACATTTTTTGATTTCGACAGAGAAGAATTGTGGGCAAGAAAACAAAACAGAAATTGTAGTATTTTGTAAAGAATACCTACATTGTACTCTGTAAAGTAGTCATTAATTACAAATAAAAAATACAAGTAAAAAATACTGCAAAATATTATTGGTATCTCATTATGCAAAGTACATGTTAATGTATGCAAAAGATATGCAAATTAGTTGCAACTCTGTCTTAGGGTACCCCCTGTATTCAACTCATAATCACACTTATATATAGTGTTTTTTTCAAAAGTGAAATGACAGGTTTCTGGTAGACTAAGAAACAAGTTCAGCAATCAAGTTTTACAACTATAATCTTAGATTAGACTCTTTACTGAAAGTAATTTATTTATATATATATATAATGTGTTGACTTATACTGAATGCATTAATCATGGCATATTTGTGTCAGAGGTTTCCCTTAAATAGCCACTAATTCTAGAGCATTTCTTATCGATTCAGTTATGAGGATGGGTGGCATTTCTAGTCACTGCACTGTTGTTGAAAATTTTCAGACAATATATGAAGGGGATCATGATATTAATAATATTAATATCATATCCACAACTACCAAAACATTTACTATTAATGTTAGTAATTGGCAATGTACACCAAATTTATGTTTTATTACTTGAAACCCTCGCGGTCCTCTTTAGCATTGTCAATCAACTGCAGTTTAATGTGTATTTCTGAATTTAAAACGACCATGTATTTCAGGATTTATGGATGCCAAGGGTATTTCATGACAAAATATAATTTTCAAATTAAATGAGCCACAGTTAGAACTAAAACTTATCAACATACCCCGATTACTTGGAGGTTCCCAGGATACACTGCGACCCTTCATTTGTTCCACTAAGCTGGCAGGTGCAGTACTGACATGATGTAACGGTACAGTGCCACTAGCTGACGACCCAATACTGTCATTACTGCTAATACTGTGATTACTACCAAATTCAGCCGGTGTGCTGACAGTATGCTGTAATAATGGTGGTGCAGTGACATCATTGGGTGGAGTCGCTACACTAGCGGCTGCTATATCAGTAGTGCTGGTATACGTCTGTGGAGGGATGTTGCCATGGGAATTACTTCGACGATGACCTGGTACAAATGTACCTGTAAAAAGATACTCATTGTCACATTATATGTTCAAACAAGAGACAGGTGCAAATATGTATATTTGGAAATTATTCCCTGAAACTGAAAAGATTGTGGAAAAGACTGCTAATGTTGACTTGAGACATGCTTGATATATATATGCTACAACAGGGAGAATATCCACATTATCACATTCTTAAACACAGTGTACAGATTGTTCTAAAAAAAGTCATGCGTTCCACCAAACTTTTGAAGCTTTCAAGAAGAGTATCATGTCCAAGCCTTATTTTTTTTTGTTTAGAATAATAAATAAGTACATGTATTGTGTAATGACCTCAGTTCTACAAAACACTCACTTCCAGGTAGTCACACTAGGGTACTTTCCTTGGTCACTCATTATAATAATACATTATGCATGCATTGAATTCAATATAGTCGTGTAACAACTGCCTTCACACAGTATCTCTTGCGTCTATCACATGTGAATGTAACGGGATTTTTAATTATTTTGAAGTGATAACTGCATTTTGTTTTGGATCACACGTTAGACATGCCTTGTAGTGCACAGCAGTGCCACTCACATGACATGTATCTAAGGTTAACAATGAACTCGTCTATATTACGGATTGATACAAAAATATCACTGGTAATACATTCTATTTAGAGTATGTATTTAGTACATGTATGGAATGCTTTTTTTTCAGTTTTCCTGTAATTATTTTGTCTATTTGACCCACCAGTCAATGATTCACTTATAACAAAGAATGTTTATTACTGCAACAAAGGTAAACCTATATAGCAAGAGGACTATAGATATTCCAGTTTAGGCGAGATATTGAATTACACAATCCCAACCAGTACAAAACCAGAGTTGAGGGTACTAATAGTATGGCATTATAACAGACACCAATGAGCACATGAAATGATGATATTAGTCTCAGATATGATGATGTGGACATTCACTTAGAATAGTATGTATGTTGTATACTGCAAATTTATGAAACCATGTGCCACTTATTGTCTCTGCTATTGGTGAATCTTCTAAACACCAAATGATAAATTACTTTTTTTGTCACATGTGCATACAGTGCTTAGACATCGGTAATGTAGCACAAGAGTGGGTGTGTCATATATGCAAATGTTAATTCACATCTTTACTTTACTGCCGAACTAATTTTATCAGAACCAATTTTGGAACACGATTTCTGGTTTTGTTTAAATGGTGTTCAATTTAAAGATATTTATAAGTTTCACATTGCAGCGTACAACATACACAGCAGTAAACTAGAGGTTATACGCATTTATCCTCCCTAACTATGCAATCAGAATTGACAACACAGAAGTACATATATCTAGGCTTAGTAGCCTTGAATCACCAGAGTCAAACACGGTACAAAACAAACTGACAAATTACATGTTGATATTAGATACACAAACACTAGACAATACATAAGATTTTTTTCTAATATTACTTATCATGTAAATTACAACTAATGATTAATTCATGCAGATGAGATGTGCAAAAAATGCACAGATGTTAAAAAACAACTTGATGATATAATACACAACTGTTCTCACAATGCCCATGTAGACCTTGTCATCATATTTAGAGAAATTTCATCATTATGCATAGGTTCTTCAATATTTTCAAGCTAAGAAGACATGAACAGATTACTTGAAGGGTGACGTCTAAACAATTTGAGGGGTAGGATGCCATGTTTTTGAACTTTTATAGGTAAATAATATTAGTAATACATTGCATATTTAATATTTAGTGGATCGAAAAATTGTTAAACTTATAACCACCTTGTACATGCAGGAATACTGGTTGATTGAACTGACAGTGGTTTAGTCCAGTTAAGACTGGTTGATAGAATCACTAAATGTTGATAAATGGATTGATATAAGTGAATTTTAGTTGCAAAAGTTGAATTCAAGATTTGTTCAATCACGTACCGGTATAATGATACAAACTACTGATAAAATTGTTCAACATAATTATCTTTGTTAATAAACAGTTTTCCTAAATTGAGAAAGTTTACTTTAACTTAGTTCTGTTACCAAAATGATTAATTTTTTTACATTTTTTTTGTCTGGTTGCATCTTGTTTTCTATGTTTGGAGTCAGTAATAGGTTTGAGTAAAAGCGAGAAAATTTGAAATATTGCCAAAAATATTGTCCAATGGCATTGCAGAGAAAAGTTTAGTATTATTAGCAAGCAAGAAACACATCACCTGTCCGCCTTTTACGTTTATAGAGTGGAAGAGTAGCAGTGTTAGTGAAGTTGCTATGGTAACCAGTCAGAGGCTCATGAATATTAATGAGGGTGAAAGACTGAGCATGTGCAAGATCATGTGATGGTTCTTGGTAGTTGCTGGCTGGTAATGTATTACTGTAAGTAAAGGTTTGCGGTGGAATATAGCCATGAGAACGACATCTACGATGTGTTTGCACAGATGGTCCTGTCATATAAGCAAAAATATTAGTAATACATACAGCCTGAAAACATGGCTACCATAAACAATATAAGGGTTTGATATTTATATACAAATGTTCACCCCAACGAAGGTGGACTGTTGGGATGAACATTATATACCGAATAAATCTTAAAACAGAAATGTGGCACTCAATCATGGCAATCTTCCAGGTCACACTCATGAAGATGAATGCATGTACCGGTAATAACACAAATATACGAGTTGAAAGAGCAGTGATTGAATTCCATTGAGTTTTATCATGGATGTCTTTCTACTTTCTTGGTTGTGTTCATAAACCTAATTTCAGCAGCTTCCGGCTGACAGAAAAATAATTTTTACAAACATACCCAGCGCCACCGTGTGTGCAGCTATAGACCACACTGCATTCCAGTTTACATTTGAATACTGAAACGAGCTGCACACAGAGGTGCACAATGTATGGGTACAAGTTTATGTCAACACCATACTCTCTTAACAAATACACTGTACATCATAAGTTGGTATACTGTTAAAATACACAAAATATGTAAAAAAAATCAAACCAAGCGGTATCATTACATGGCAAAGTCCAAGACTCTCAGATTGAATGTTTGAAAGCACGTATAAAGCTCACGAAATTTCTACAAAACCCTAGTTTTCTCTCTAATAAGACAATAACAATAAATAAAAAGCAAACCTGGCAAAGAAATTATTTCATGAATATTGCAGTGTATCGTGCTCTCTTAACAAGTTATAAGCGTGAATCAGAAAGAAGGTACCCCAACGGAGGTAGACGTTTGAATATGTCTACCTGTAATGTGCGAATCTGATTGGCTGTTGGCTGAGGTATAATAATGTCAAATACGATAGATAACTTTGATTTTAAATGCGAGAATTTAAGTGTTCAATTTTCAAGTGTGGAAATGACCCAAAGGTAGTTTTTCGTTTGTTGAATCCCACAATATGTTTTAACATCAGTATGCCCTATGCATGTCCCGTTGTTAAATTTGATTTCATGTATAATGCAGAATCTCACAGTGAGTGGAAAATATTGTATTTCCCATAGTGTATTTCTATAGTACTGTCATGACTAAGACTCCCAGCAATGTCAATGCAACCTTTATTGATATAAAGCTAAGTGGTGACTTACTTGTTTGTTGAGACTGCGATGTTTGTGACATGATTTCTAACAAATCTGCAGAATGCCTTTTCTTGTCATATTCATGCTTTGCTTTTGAGCTGTCTCTGCGAACAATGCCTGCAGGTCCTGGCTGCGTGAAGTACTGCAAATTACAAAGTCATAATAATTTTTTATTAGTTCCATGCTCAGAATTAAAGCTGGATCGAAAGTGGACAAGTATGATGATTTTGAATACAGTGATGTGAATTTAATATGGTTGAAATAGGTCTGCTGTTTAATTACAATTGCATGCATAGTTATATAAACATCAAAGTGAAGAAACAAATAAACTTGGCTTTGTTTACATTCTTTTTAAGTGTCTCAACTCCCATGTTTAGAATTTATCACTGATAAGTTTATTACCTTTAGTACCCAAAGTGGTGTATTCACCAACTCTGGTCTGTCAATTAGTAGTGTTCCCCCAATTTCATGAAATGAACTAATTTCCAGGAGGTCTGCCCAAGGTACTTATATACTTAGTATAAAAGCAATCTGAGTAGAGGTTTTTAAGAAGAAACCGAAAAAAGCATTTCACCAAAAATGATAGAAATATTCACAGAAATTAGAGAATTCAAAATATCTTCGCTAAATGTTCAAATCTAACAGAGGTCAATACAGCTTCATTTATACCAACTATCAAACCAAATCAAGTGCAAGTTTTTAAGAACATTACAAAAAATATATTCATTAAAAATAGAGAACATTGTTACAAAATGATCAAATATTGTAGAGGTTCATCTAAGGTACGTATGTATAAAATGTTAAAGCAATAGACTTAGTGGTTTACAAAAAGTCGATTGAAAAAATTTATGCTGGATGCTTAACTGCAACAGACAATTATGGTATCTCATACCTATAGCTCTGCTTGTTATGTTCGATGGCAGTAGAGTTGGATGTTTTTGAAACAAACATTCAATGTACACATAAAAATCTACATATTATAACAGTTACTAGCACACTGCTGATACAAGCATTTACTGAGTGACTTACTTTGGAATGTCCTACAGATGTGGATGGCATTTTCCTTATGACTGTGTCTGATAATGTACTAGCTTTAGAACCTGTTGTACCAGTCGTTGACTCTAATAAGTTAGTTATAGGGGTGTGCCAATCAATTAAATTACTCTCAGCTTCTTTATAAGCTCCTGTACACAAATACACATAGTGAGAACAGTGATACCACGGTTACTAAAAAAGGCGGTTAGGAAATGCTATTGTTAAAAGGTGTGAATCTGCCTAATCCCTCAAGGATGCGTGTCACGTACGCTGTGTACACCCACTATCGCTTGAGATTTCAAGGCCCACCATTTTGTTTCTTTTTTGTGTCGATCAATTTTCGAATGAGTACTCTTTGTGACTGTGATAACATTCAGAATCGAGAATCGTCGTTTATCGTTTTCACTGTTTTCGTGAAAGTGATCTTGGGTTTCGGAAGAAAAAGTGACAAAAATTCTAACCCCTAAGTCAATATTTTAAAATACATTTTTATTATAAAAAATACTATCAAATGAATTTTTAGTATACTACTGTGCGTACTTATGACGGTTGTATGCGATTCGGGGGCTTATTAGAGTAAATGTTATCGTTGTGCTTTTGCGTCACCGTATCAGCCATTTTGTTTAAAGTCTTTACACATTTTTGTAGACACCGTAGATATCGTTGAAAATGAATTCAACATTTTCCGCCAGTTTCATAAAATGCCTGTTTAATTGTTCTTGTCTGTCCTTGTTGCAATTTTCAGGTGCCGTTAAATAAGGTTTTAGTCAAAGCAACATATTTTGAACTCTCGGTACAACTTTCTAGCAGTCTCTTCGCCAGATCACTTTTTCGAACCCTTTTTAACCATTCTTAATTTCATTGGAACTGCCTATTGTTGCATATTTGGTGTGCTAACATGCATTTTGTAGAGCATGGGTGGGTCGTTTCAGTTATCTTATTGCATATTTTGTTTATTTCCAACAAAGTGTATGTGGTATCACGGCTCCTCATTAAAACTTTCGCATGGCTGAAATATAAACATTTGTATGGTTTCATTGACATTTTTTTTCTGATCATGTGATGTTGGTTTTTTATTTCAGTTTTCTGCTGATCTTGTTCTTTAGAAATGAAAATGCCATACAAGACTGGCAAATTTGTTTTGAGTTTAAACTGAGCGACAGGTTTTGTCAGGATTCACTGGAACAACTTACACTTTAGTAACTTAAAGCATCGACACAGATAAACAATAAAATGGCGTGCAGTTGTTGATTGCAATGAACTCTGGGAAAAATGACATATTTGCGCGATTTCCTGTCTACATTTTATGTTAATGATTAGCCTATCTTTATCACAGATTAGTACGTCTTTTGTTTCAAATGTTTACCCGCGACACGAATCCAATGAAAAGAACATGGTTTGTTTCCTAATCGTCTTTTTTAGTAACCGTGGTGATACCATGCCATTAGGAGTGTGCCAATCAATTAAATTACTCTCAGCTTCTTAATAAGCTCCTGTACACAAATACACATAGTGAGAACAGACAAGCAAATCAATGGTGAATTCATTACATTTAATAATAATAATTATCACATTCTCTTGCAATGGAGTGCTTCTGTGGCATAAAAACAGCGTAGTGTGAGAGAAATTATGATTGATTGCGTATTTGTCATTACAAAAAAATATAGAACATCTCTCAAACACGTTTCTTCATTGACAAGACTACTATAGATCCAAGGAATATCGATGTGAGCAACTTTCTTTTACATGTACTTCATCAAAACAGTGATATATGATAGGCATAGTCTAGACACATACAGGGCATAATGAAAGAAATTTGTCTCCTCAATTTCTGCAATGTGTAGATTGCGATTTTCCATTCACTGTGAGATCTTGTGTATTGCATGAAAGATGTTGACCAAATGTCTGCCGCAAAAAACAAATGATTTCATTTTTTAATTTCTTTTGCTACAGCTCATACATGTATATGGAAATGTTGATCTTTCAGAGTAATATATATACCCTTACTTCATCAAAACCGACCATCATCAAATGCAAATATCACATTATTAAACAACCCCATTTGACAAATCTCATGCAATGTTCTGATACCACTACGATGCTAAGACGTTTATTTATTCTGTTTTTATGTTTGGTTTCATGTAGGATCTCGCAGTGAACAGAACGGGAAATGGTCTATTAATTGTACACCACCAAGTAACTCATTTGATCTACAGAGGAATGCAATTTACCAATACAATATAGTGGAGCTGAATCCATGCTGTAACCTGTATATAATCGAACACTACATGTTAAAAATGTTCACTTACCTACTTCAATTTTTTCTTGTGGATAAACCAGAGGTTCATCAGCACCTTTAAAATACTGCAGGCAAAATCAATTAACTATCAGTACACACATAAGAAAGGTCATAGTACCTTCACTCTGCCTTTTACAGGTGATCACTACATCTACTACAGAAACCATTGCAAACACTAGTGCATTAGCTACCACAAAGTTGTATCTATTTGTGAAGCAATCTTGTAGATTTGACCTCCCCATTAAGTCTGTGGCACACTTACGCAGGGCACAGTGGATTTGACCTTCCCATCAAGTCTGTGACACACTCATCCAGGGTACAGTGGATTTGACCTCCCCATTGAGTCTATGACACACTCACCCAGGGTACAGTGGATTTGACCTCCCCATTGAGTCTGTGACACACTCACCCAGGGTACAGTGGATCTGACCTCCCCATTGAGTCTGTGACACACTCACCCAGGGTACAGTGGATTTGACCTCCCCCTCATGTCTGTGGCACATTCACCCAGGGTACAGTGGATTTTACCTCACCATTGAGTCTAGGAAAAGAGGTTGACCCAGAATCAGGAATGGCAAAAAAAACTATGCTCCTGAAGATAATTTTACATGCACATACTTACCGGCATAAGACTTGACATAACATACTCCACTTCACCCATGGATGGCCGCCTAGCAGGATCTTTAGCCCAGCATCTGTTGGATGAACAAAATTACTGAATGTTTATCGTATAGTGACCAGCACCATATTGGACATGAGAGATGACAATATGTACTGACAACAGACTGTTTATGACTATGCTTTGTCTGGTTGCAGTATATGTGGACTCACCGTGACATCAGAACTTCTATGGGTTTTGGCAGATTCTTTAACAGAGGGGGTCTGGTACCTAAAGAAAATACCAATCAAAAATAAGAATACTAGTATGTTTCAACAATTTCATCTGTAGTCACCTTTCATGAAATGATTATTTTGTCAACAATTTAGATCAAAACAAATTCTTTAGTATAATTCATCAAATGTTAATCTGATGTTCAGTTAAATGTTAATCTAGCTTGAAACTAGCTTAGCTTACTTTCAAAACTTCTACATATCTAAATTGTACATCTATCTAAATATGCTTCTTATTAGGTAAATACTACAAAGATTAAGTTGAAATTATTGATGACATTTAATGCGACATTTAAATCACATCAATGGGTGATGCAAAATAGCTAAATATGCATAAATACGCTACCCTGATGAACTAATGTGTGGTGTGATGTGAAAGTAATTACAGGTTGTGCACAAGCTGTACTGTATATTCATTAGGAAACCATGGCAATGCTTGACAATTACAGGTAATAATTTGCCTGAGCTCTGCTTGAGCTGCTGTGGAACGCCGGTCGAAGGGCCGATGAAAACAGCTGAAGTCAACTTTTAAATAATCCTGAGCAACTAAATTTATATATGTTGTACATGTAGGGGTAATCTTGTTATCCTGTTCAGGGGACTCTCAACAACTATCTCAAAGTACAGTTTTTGTGAGAGTTATTAGCCTTTGTTTTCACTGGCGAAAATGCCCGGATATGTATACATGTACAACTTACCATTATGAACTGCCCACATAATTCTGAATGCTGGACCCCCTATTTCATCAAATGGTTTCCTCCGTGATAACACTTCCCATAGAATTATACCCCAGCTAAACACATCACATTTTTCACTGTAGTAACTACCTGAAAATATCAATAAACAATATTTGTAGGTTATTTGTATTGCCATTACTCCTGAATGGACAAGAAAGTGTGACATCATTAATTTTTTTACTACCAGTTCCCTCTTTCCATCAAAAATAGTTCTGTTAATAGTCTGCACTTCAGCAGATTGGGATGGCAAATTTAATTGTTTTTGTTGAAAATAATTGTATTTACATTTTAGTATCTATTATTTAATGACAATTGTTCACACACTAGAATAACATACTCTTTGAATCTAAGTTATATTCACAAATCTGGTTGTCTCCGAGGCTTCATGTATGTTACATGTATGTAAACAACATGTGGAATTATTTCAATATTACCTTCAAACACTTCCGGTGCCATCCACGCTGCACTGCCTTTATTGTTAGTCATGTACGTCTGGATATCACATGCCGTACCAAAATCACAAATTTTTAATGTTGTACCACCCGCAACTAGTAATAGACTGAACAAAAACACTTTCCTGAATATTGAATATGAATAGGGACTTATTCATTTCATTATAATAATGAATGCTACAACAGGACTACTAGTAACTTTGAATTGAACTCGGTCAGTGATTGACACTAACTATGGGGTAGATTGCTTTCTAGAAACGTCCTAGTCAGTTTTAGTTTAAGTCATTTGACGCACCCAAGATGTCTTGGCCCTGGTTTTTATGTATCACTGAAGTTTAACTACCAGGCTCAATTTTCACATCATGTTTCACACCCTAGTGTTTTCTCAGATGTTGATAATTCCATGTTTAAAGAATACTACAATTACATAAAATTATATTTATTCAAGTTCATTTTACCACTCAATTTATTACACAGATGAATGAAAACTTGTGACATTTTTTGCTGACTTTTAAGTTGTTTTCTCTAACTAAATTATTATTATCATATATATGCCAAAAATTGGACTGTAAAAAATACTTTACCGTGGTAATAAAGTACTATCTGTATATATTGTGTTCATGCATGAAGAGGCTTCACTTAGCACACAGCTCTATTTACATTGCTGTGGCATGGAATTATTTATATATAAATATTATTTATGTATAAGTAAAGTATATGTATAAGTATAGAAAAGAAAGTTTGAATTTAATGTGATTTTTCTTCTTTCCTTTTTCAAATATGTATGATTTGGTTGTTTTCTTCTCTTTGTTTGCCGCTCCAAAGGCTAATAAAAATATTATTATTATTATTATAAAAAACAGGAAAAGAGATAAACGTTTGATCAATTTACTGTACTGGGTGAAACAGAAACATCATGGGCACTGAGAAAATGTTGCAGCAAATGACAAGATCTGAAATGTACAGATACATGTGTAACCACAGTACGGTAACATGTATCAGGATTCTGAACAACTTTTATACATAATGCATTACTTACTTTGCTGGTTTGAGATCTCTGTGTATAAGTGATTTAGGTTTCATAGCATGTAAATAAGCCACACCCTTAGCACATTGTAAAGCCCAACTCATTGCATGAGCAGCTGTAAATTGTGGAATAGGTGGACTGCCATGTAATACGTTATACAGAGAACCACCATCAGCGTACTCCATAACCAGACATACAGGTTTACTGGTACATGCTCCATATACTTTTACTATATTGGGGTGATTCACGCGTGATAACTGTCGAACCTGTGGATTAAAATAGGTACTATAAGTATTGTCGGTAGTGGGATTTAGTGTTTTATTTCAGTGATAAGAAGAAGAAGATTACTCTTCAATAGCATCTGGCCTTGCCAACATGTGAATTGTCCTAAAATACATGTAGTCCAAAATAAATACGTTAATTTTTTTCTCCACATATTATGAGGTTATTATGAAAATAACTCAAAGTATGCATGAAGACAGTACAGCTTGAGTATCGATTGAGGCGCAGTGGAGATCGATGTGTGGCGTACTGCCTGAATCCATACTTTGAGGTATTCTCGTAATAACCTTATTAATATACATCTTTTCCTTCCAAGGATACATCATAGGAAAGTTTAGAACAGAATCAGCAAACTTCTTTGTGTGGAGTTTGGTCAATCCCTGATGGCAGCCATGTTTGTTTTTATTATTAGAGGATGCTTATGTGCATAATCATTCAATATTTAGAATTCAAATTTCCTAATATGGTAGGATGAAAATACTCCATAAAATACCGCAAAATTACGACACACTGTACATAACTTATGGCGTTACAGTTACGGCCTCCATTTAGCCACCATAAGCATTTTAACATTGTACTGTTATATGATAAAAGAACCCCAGTCATTGTGATAATTAAAAATACGTAATTGCTACATCTAATTGCACCTACAAATATTTTAAAAATAAAAGCAAAAGTTATTGCCATGGAGCAGCTTTCAATTTGTTGCCGTTTGCTTCTAAAGCTAAAATTTTATTAATTGTTTTTGTTACATGCAAATAACCTGCTAATAAAATTTCCTGTGAGTCTAAACACATGCCATTAATTTGAAGCATAAATGTGATTCTGTGCATATCTTGCACGTAGGATATAAAACATTGTAATTCTTGCATCTTAGACGCATATTTTGTGCTAACACAATCCCTATACATTAAGTGAGTCAACATTCCACTAACCTCTACAAGAAATGCTTTTATTTCTGCTTCTGTTTCTATCATCTTTACAGCAACTGTTCTGTCTTTCCATTGTGCCCGGCTCACAACGCCAAAACTACCCCTTCCCACGATCTGCAAAGATACATTACCGGTAATATATTTGCTCCATCAGTATGTAAAAGAAAAAGACAAATCTCGAGTCAAGTCATATTTAAATGATCCAGATACAAAGCAATGCAATTTTTATTTAATTATTTAAGGTGTCTTTCTTTATTTTGCTACATATTTGACAACATACAAATTGTGTCTAATCAATTTGTTAACAGTACATCAGCAAAAAAAAAAAAAATAAAGATAGCCTGGGCTATAGTTTGTTTTGTAGTACCTATACCGACCACAATTTTTTTGTTGGTGTTATACAAATATGCCCTTCTACTAATGTAGATTCTCTTTTAATATAACGTCAATTCCTCTTTTATTAGGATGATACACAAGGCTAAAAAACAATTCATTCATCCCCAGTTAATTCGTCCGACAAGTCGATTCGTTCTAGGTCAATTCGTCCCACAATTAATTCGTCCCAAAGTCGATTCGTCAGATTTAATGTTAGCTCACTACTAACTCACCAAATAGCACAAAAAAATCCAAACAACAAACTGTTCACGTACACGTCATGCACTGGCATTTGTAATTGTTCATTACGCCATTTTGTTTTTGCCGACTTGGGTTATACTACGATTTCCAGTGATGGAAAGGAAAAATAAACTATGAGACTTGAAACAAAAGAATTAAATCTGGATTAAAACTTTTCCTCTCTCTTCCCCTACTATCGTCTATGAACGGAAGTGGGACGAATGTGAATTGGAACGAATCAACTTGTGGGACGAATGTGAATTGGGACGAATTGATTGTGAATTGGGGAGACTTGTATCTTTTTTATACAGCCCTGTGCTAATATCCTCTGCTGGTGTCAAACAATGCATGATTTTTGTTTCTAATTGTGTGATTATATTGTTGGACTTTCAAATAATTTCACTGGAAATCCAATAAACCAATGTATTCATCAACATGCAGTACATGTACCAAAGAACAACAACAACAAAATTAAATGTTCTCAGATATTAGTTGCATTCACAGTCAAGACTCGGACCAATTTGGCACGTGCAAAACTTGTGTGTAAACGGTCAAGCCGAGTCGGCAAGTTGATCTTGGTCCCGATAGATGCTTTGGACCAAAACTCGGCATGTGCCGAGATTTGCTGCCTGAACACTAGACATGAGCTGAAATCACGCCATCGGTGGCAAATTTAAGAGAACATATGCTGATTCATACTAAACGTACTATGTGATATAAAATGACGATGACAGGAAATGCAGATATACATGTACTAGTATATGGTCAGATGCTCTAGTAATGAATAAAATGAATGCAAACCACTGTCATCGACGCATATTTATGTGCTGCTGCAACCAAGTAGATTTCTTGCAATGCTACATTGACGTGAAAGAAATCATTGTTTTTCAAATCTTCTTTGCCATTCATGTGCATGATGACTCTTAATAAACACCATAATAGCAAATGGATATATTTTCAATATAGCAATTATCATCATCATCATCATAACTAACTTTCTTTTTGTAGTAGTAGTTAGTCACAACTTATCTTTATTGCTATTAACTGATAGAAACATTGTATTTCTAAGGATGCAATAAAGTTATTATTATTATTATTATGCGTATTTTTTTTCATCTGTGGGTCAAATAACAGATTGACGAATGAGGACAAGATTTTGGCATGAGCCAAGTCAGTAATCCCTCTGCAAATACAAAGGATTACAAATTTCGGCACATGCCGTGATCCTGTAACATGAATGTAGTAATTGCATCTTTTTTTTTTTTTTTGAGAGTTAGTTTTTAGATGTTGTGTTATGGGCAGTTGCAGTGAAACGTATAGTCATAGTGTAAGTATTCACACGTTTCTAATCGATCCGAAAGTGCGACATCAGTGGATGAAAGCCACTTAACCTCAGCTTCTTTTTTTGTGGAAAAACTGTCCTCGTCCATGAAAAAAACAACTAGGTTTAAAGAGAAACGCCGACAACATAAACCTGGCGCAACACTTTTGAAAGAGATAGATTCCGGACCATGATCACCGAGGCGGATTTCAGAAGAGAGAGAGAGAGAGACGGCAAGTGTTTCAAATGAATTGACTTTTTTGCGATCCTGATTATCGTTTTATAGAGACCATTTAGTAAAGAGTAGCAATGACATGAAAACGAAGCGTCGGACAAACAGGAAATTACACAGCCCTTACACACTGCTAATTGTTTTGATTTTCGAAAGCTAAAAGTTTCTGAATTGTTTGGTGATTGGTGTTGAATGTCGAATTCACACCTCTGTTCTTTTTTTACCTCCATGCTTGCAGCTTGATCTGCGTAATAATTTATGAAATAAGAATTTATGACAATCACGCCATGGATCACGCTAACTCAAATCCACTCCTAATTTATCTGTATGTGTGTCGATCTTGATTATTTTTGTTATCCAATTAAACACCGCTTTTAACGCACTTGCCCTCGTCGTAACCCGACGCATTCACCTATTTCAACAAAATTTCAATTTATTTCCACACGGCTGTCATTTATTTAGTAACTGTGATTTGTATTTTTTTTAATTATTTTATAGTGATCACTATACTCTAATGTTTAGAATGTCAAAATATGTTCTCTATAATTTTAATTTTGAAAGTTTTACTCAGACGATCGATAAAATAAAACAGTGTAGTTAGGTGCCTAGTAACCTATTTTGTCCAGCGACAGTGTACAAACGTGCGCCGGTGACGCTCACGGTGACCAGCTACACCAGAACGGACATATTTCGCATCTAACTCAACCCCATGCAACGAAAATTGATACTATGTGTTCATTATGGTCCATTCCTCCTCGACGAACAAGTACATAAGTGAAAATTTAGTCAAAGACGAGAAAACTGCACAAGAAATTTGCCTTATTTATACGTATCGGCAATGCAAGCTGCCATGCGACTTCCCCTTCTGACGTCACAAGGGGAATTTCTGTATGCAAATGAGAAGCTAATGAGGAGCCTCGTTTTAAAATACACAAAATTAAAGTTGCCGTAGATTGAGTTTAAAACACATTTTTTCACTTAAAAAAATAATTCATGCTTAGAAACCTAAAAATTAATAATATTTATGTATCAATGGATAATTTTAGGCGTGAAAATAGCAGCCATTTCACAGGCACTTTAAACAGAAAATCAACAATGCTTTGTGCATATTAATTACGTATTAGTATAAATAACTATACAATTACAAGTTAAATAAAAATACAATGAAAAGAATAAATATAATTTATAAGTTTTAACAGTCCACAATTCAAACAACGTTTACGTATATGAACAGCGATATAAAACAGTGGTGTTCTACATGTATGAAATTTCGCTGTGCAGCCTGGGGGATTAAAGAACATCACATCTACTCTAGTCTACTAAGGAACTGTGGTTGTGCCAGAGGTTTAGGCAGAGTGTTCAGAAATGTAGAATTGATATAATATTGATATGATATTTTATTTAGAACGTACACAAACAAAAGTAAGGCAATGTCCAAAAGCGCAATAGAGACTACTACAAGACTAAAACAGATCTATTAAAATACAAAAAACAAACAAAGCAAAATTGGAAAGAATAAACTTGTTACAACTGGGGAGAATTTGATTTGGGACGAATCGACCGTCCCCCCATTAAGTTTGTAGTATATCACATCAGGTCAGCCATGATTGAGGTCAACAACACAGAACTATAAGAAAACCTTGCACACTGAATAGTAGATTTTCCCACCTTTTGAAAGTCTAGATCGCTAAAGTCGACCTCCTCCACGAACTGCGTGGCAGCCTCTGCTGTAGACATGTTATCAGCCACTACATAACAAAATTGACAAAGAAACAACGGTAAAAATCAACGCTTCGCGAAGCTGAGTACTTCCTTGTTTCAACAAACCGGAAATTACGTTGCTTTCGCATTGCGTCTTGGGTAAATACCATCATTCTGACAGCTGCTCGACAGAAACTTGTTTTGAAAACCGCAGAGGTTTGTTCATTTGGGGGATTTTTCTTCGTTTTACCACTTACCGGAAACTTCAAGGTAGTTATTAGTTTTCTTCATTGGTATTTCTAGCTTTCTGAAAGCATTTACTTCCGATTAATTGTGAAAGAAACAAGGATCGAAAAAAAGGCATCAGGTCGACTGCTTCAGTGATTCGTTGGTAGGGACGCACTGTCCATGTCAGCCGTAAATATACCATGCATCTAACGCCTAAAATTGTCCAGTACGATCCAACAGTGCAATGCTATGTGTGTTGTATCATGTAACTAAACACTCCGTCGTTATGATATTACATTTAGTTACAGATCAAAACCGAACTTTTGAATACTTACACACGATCACCATATCAAAATATATAAATATTATGATACTGAATTTTAAGAAAGCAATTGAGACTGAAAATTGATTAGTGCTATTTATGATTAATTTTGTTCCGATTGTTCATCATCATCAGTTAGGAAGAAAACGTGTATAGCAATGAAGAATCGGAAACAAATTAATATTGAATACTATGGATAGATTTATTTTGATTTCAGTCCTCAAGTGACTGTGATTTCCCCCCGGGGGGGGGGGGGTTCTCTGAATAAAATATGGTACGCAAGGTGAAGTAAAAAAACACGTAAAAGGGGTATTATTTAGTTATTTGACATCTATACCTCAACTTGGAAACAATATGATTTTAGTATGCATATATGGTACAAAAATAAGTATGTGTTTAGAGGCTTTTTTGAAAAGCTATACTTCAGCATGGGTACCAGGTTTGATTTAAAGTATCCCCTCTGGGTTTTTTTACCTGCTTTTTGAGTGTGAATGTTATGTTACACTAATTTTCTTGTATTTAGATTTTGATATATCAAGATGCAGAATATACATTTAGCTTCAGAAGAAGATCTATATTCAGGATATAATGATTATAACCCGTCATTGGATCCTGAGGTATGTTACATAATAATTATATTAATTCAATATTCTCATTTTAGATTTTGTTGGCTGTAACTTCTTGTAATGTTTATGAAAATAAATGTAAACAACACAGAATTGTAATTTGCTCTTGGGATACCATTTTGTACTGCCTTACCTCTAGGTTAGGCCACAAACTGAAATTTGAAACTGGTCGCCATCAAAAACCTAAAATACCACTACAAAGCAGAATTTGTCAAAACTGTTTCAAAATTGAAGATGAACAACATTTCACAACAGAATGCACCTTATATGCAAACAACAGAGCCATTCTATATTCAACAGTCAAATCCTGTATATATGGATTCCAAGATATGACAAACAATACTAAATTCATACAAATAATGAGTAATAAGAACACTTCACAAATCAAAGAAACCATAAAGTACATCGAACAGTGTTACAACATAAGAAACACATTACCGGCATAAATAACCAACATATGCCATATTCTTGCATATTGTAAATTGTCTTACCATTCACTGATAGTTTTATGTCCGCTCAACTATGTAAATACTTTATTAACTCGTTAACCAAAAAAAAAAATGTCACATTATCTTTACGGTATTAATAAAGCATTCTATTCTATTCTGTTCTATTCTATTCTATTCTATTTTATTATATTCTATTATATGCATGATTGCTGTTAGACAATAATCAGATCTGTACTAGCGATGTCAAATTCACAGCTGCTGTAATTGGTCGAATGATTTTTAACCTTCATCATGAGTTTCTAATTGTACAATAACTGTGAAGCACATTCATGGGTAATCTGATATTAATGACCTTATTTATTCAATATTCTCTCTATTTGATTAGTCCTTGAATGCCCTATTTGACATCCCGTAGCACCTGGAAATCACTCAAAGAAAAAAATTACTTTGAGTTGTTATGTGTAACACTATAATATTTATTAACACTTAATAATATTTTCTGGTAGAGATAAAAATGACCATACATAAACAAATAAAAAATGTTTTTAAAATGCTGTGGAATACTTTATTTTCGCTGGAATTAATTTTCGCTGAAAAGGCTTTTTGGGCGTTTTGTATGGAATTTATTTTCACTGATTTTTGATGAGCTTAATGTGAAATATAGGAAAAAATGTATATTCGCTGGATTTTATTTTCACGGAATCGTCCCTTCAGCGAAAATAGCGAAAATAAATTCCGAGTGAAAATAAAGTATTCTACAGTATGGCATTTGGATTTCCAAGCATCAATAGTTTCACAAACAGAAACTTATGAGAAGATATTTTCGCTAATGTCTGTAACTACATGTACCAAAAATCATACTCTTGCCACAACAAAATCATTTTCTTCATCTTTATAAATATCTATAAATTTCAATGGCTATGGAATCAAACCAACCAATCAACGAGCACATTGACGTCATTTGAAAATATTCCCATGTTATTTTATCGGCCAACAGAAACCTTTTCAGTTTGAATTGTGAAATTATAAATATTTATAATGATAAAAAGTGAATAGGTTTGTTGTGCCAAAAGTATTCTGTTTTATAAAATACAAACTGGTCTAGTAAGTACTACATATTCTCATTTAAGCAACTTTAATGTTAGTTTTGTTTTGTTTGAGAATTGAGTATATAGTTCTAATATTGTCCATAAATAATACTGTCATGTGTTGAATAGAATCTAGATGATGATGCAAGCTTTCAGCAAGCAGTGAAAACCAGTCATGGAAGAAGACCTCCTGTAAGTAAACAATTAACATTTCACAACAATTCCTTCTATCAAAGTGTGATACCTTTGTCTGGTAGATCAGTTCTGTGCACTCATAAAATGGTAGTTTTCTATCGGTCAGAGTATGACATTGCTCATCTAAGTAAACTGGGAAATTAATCAGTTACAATTTTTGTTTTTGTAATTATAAATATCAAAGCCAAATTTTTTTGTTCATTCATCAAAATTTGTTTATCTGTTAGAAGTGCATGAATTGACATTAATTCCTTGTCGTATGTAACAGTCTAGTAAAGCTTGTTCTTCTAAAATAATAAATATATGTCTCTGTCTCACTTGTGTCTTTCTATAATCAACATTTGGTTTCTTCTATGCATACTACTATATATAATATTCTGTATAAAGCTTTCCTGATTTTATTTTGTTTGTCACCATCATCACTTGTATTATCTTTATAGATGACTGGTAGAGCCCCAGGTACTGCAGCTAGAGGTCGGCTGGCGACTACAATGGTGAGTAAATGATACTTATCAATGCAACATGCATTAGTATACATCAATTGTTATGAATTAACACTAGTAATTAACAGTGATCACACGTACTAATGAAATTTGCATACTGACATGAACCCGAAGCCTATTTGGATGTCTTTATATGTTAAAAGATTGCATTCTTCACTATGACATTAATTGTATTTGCTCTATTATAATATTTATGGACACAGCACTGACTTAGAAATGTACAACTGTTAGTAGTAAATTGCTAAGTAAAAAGAAATAAAAAGGAAAATATATTTTGAAGTGCATCTCAAATAGATGTGCATACCGGGGTTATAAACCAAAAATTGCGTTTTATTGTATACACACATGTTATCCATACCTCTTACATAATTTAGGTACTCCTAATAGAGCAATACACAGTATATGGTATTCCACTTCTAACGTTGTTTTTGATTTTCAGCGTGGTAGAGCTGGTATGCCTTCTTCTATGGGAAGACCAACAACTGGAGCAGTAGGGGCGGTAAGTCCAATCGAACTTATATCCATCTATAATATGCAGTACAGATATTTCAAAAGTGTTATGGACGTATTTGAATGTCTTTCTTATTTGGAAAATGTTCATCGTATTTTTGTCACTTTCAAACACTTTACTTTGATACTTCAGCAATGTAGCTTTGACAGAAATAGAATCATGTCACGGGTCACAGAACATCACGCAGACATGTATACATATTGCTAGATTTTCAGTACAAGCAAGTCAATACAATTACCGTACTACATTCTTGTATACTTTGCAGTATTCCCATAATAAAACTAGTATGAAATTGAATAATTAACACACAAAGAAAATAATTCAAAAAAGTATGGTCTTTGCACATAGTTCAAATGTCGTAATGGACATATTTAATAATTGACAGGATGGTGGTGTAGCCCGACCAATGACAGCAGTTCGTGCAGCTGGATACACATCAGGTGGAAATCGCGGTGCATCTTTTGATCCATTAAATCAACGAGGGCCAGCACCACCCCTGGAAGTCAAAAATGAGGATACGTAAGTTATCAACTTAATAATTGAGTTTATATAGTTTAGTGGTTGTGATTCAAACAAATTATAGAATGTTTGACATTCAAAGTCACTTGAATTCTAAAAGTGAAGTAAGCCACTTTTTTGCAGATTAGCATTTGCCCAATTCAACATAAATCTGATGTGATACAGTATAATTGTGCTGAATCAGCTTAACATAAACAATGTGTGGAATAGGTGATTTTTCCTTCACTGTGAAACTTTGCATGATGTGTGAATAATGCCAATCGAAAGTTTACCACAAAAATCAAATTTGTGTAGCACAAGTGTGAAATAGCCCGACATGTAGGCGTGAGTAGCGCCCTCGCCGGCCAAACAGCATCAGACCTCACTAACACCTGACAGAATAGTGTATTTCTTGTCGGCAAGTTCAATACTGTGAATTCGCAATGTTCAAGCCTTCTTGCAATGAGTAACACTATCAATCAAAGCCTTTTTTGCATTGTCGGCAAAAATCACAGACTGTTTTCAACAAGATGATAAACATTGGGCGGAAAATTGTCAACACCTTATCTCACATTATGTCAACAAACAAATAAACTCTGCCATGAGGAATGTGATTGGTAATGACAAAAAATCATCAGGGGAAGTGAAAAACTACATCGTTCTGTCAGGCGTGTGTTGGGTTTGGAGCACTACGGAGGGCGCAATTAACTCGTGCGAAAATAGTTTTGCGTTTGTTGAATTCAGCCCCATGTTTTGACGTCACTACAAGTGCTAAAAATCTTTGTTTGTCTTGTTTTTTACGTTCGATTTTATGTATGTAAGTGGGATCTTGCAGTGAACGAGGAATGGTCTATTGACAACTATAGACTTTTGTAGTTTTTTACACCTGTGTGCTATGTTCATATACGTTTGATTTAACATTACAGCCCTGAAGAGAAAATAAAGCAGCTTGAAAAGAAGGTCAATGAACTGATTGAAGAGAGTTGTTTTGCTGCAAACAGAGGAGAACTTAATTTGGTATGTACACAGTATTACTTCGTAAATATCGTGAATTTGATCATTTCTTGAAAAACTGTTAACAGCTGTATTAATTGCATATTGAAACATGACATGAGAAGCCACATTGTTAAATCCAATGCTTGTTGGAATCATTACAGCTACATAGACTGTTGTTCATTCTATAACCAGATAATTTATTCTATACATTCTAATTTTCTAGGCGTTAGAGAAAGCCAAGGAAGCCGGTAGAAAAGAACGTATATTAGTAAGACAGAGAGAGCAGATGGCAGCTAATGACCAGATTAATTTGGACTTAACATACTCAGTAAGTCTTACCCCCCGGTATATACCTAAAATATTATGCAGTTGGTGTGATACCCTGATTTGGTGTCTGGCCACGTAAACACAAGAGAAATATTAAATAAAAAAATATGCAGTTTTAATCAATTTCATAATCTAGCTGCATACTGATTTTATTTTATGTATCATTAGCATGTTGTATCGCCTTAGAGGGTACACTGTGTATGATGTATAATGAAATTGTGTGTACCGGTATTTTAGTGCCATACTGTGGATGCATGAAATTTAAATACACAATGATGGGGAGCAGGGTTAAACTAAGAAATTGAAAGTGCCTGTATGAAAATCTTCAACATAAAAAATCTAAATGAAAGATAGCAGTCCTCAGTCTGTAAACACAGACTCGGAATTAATGTTTTGTTGATTATTTATAGTTATTTTGTAATTTACTGGTAATTTTCAATTAAAATTTGGCAGGTTTGTCAAAATTTTGCCTGTCAAATGAAATTATTTAGACAGGTGGCTGGCTAAAAGCCTGATGGAGTTGCAAATAACTGTCCTCAACATATCACCACCCTACCACTGTTATTGCATCTTTAGTGTGTACACTGACATCAAGTAATCTAGAAAGACGTTGAAAGTCAACATTGTTGTCCATAATTTACTTTGCAAACCATGTACATATATTAAGCATCCAGTATTAACAGACAAGTTTTCTCTAATTATACTCTTTCGTATTATTCCTACATTAGTTAGCCTCTGTCTGTACTTTTCTTTTTGTAGGTTTTATTCAACTTAGCCAACATGTATGAAGCTAATGAAATGTTCTCTGAAGCACTCAACACATACCAAGTCATTGTGAAAAATAAAATGTTTTCTAATGCAGGTAAGAAAGATTGTGATGCAACAAATAACTGTTTGAACATTAATGCAAAATGTATTTTTAAATAACCAGGACCAATTTTCAGTTTGTGTCACACAAGTTTTGTACAATGTGGACTTAACTATTTTCTCATCTGTTGCTAGGACGACTGAAAGTCAATATGGGTAATATTTATTTCAAGCAACGTAATTATCCTAAAGCTGTTAAGTTTTATCGAATGGCTTTAGATCAAGTACCTAATACACATAAAGATATGAGGTAAGATTCACATGCAGCTTTACTGTAATATTGTGCAGTTGGGTAATTTTAACTTTCTGTAATTCATGTGGTAATAATATTGTCTTGATAGGATGATGCTCTAGGATATCTTTGTGGTGTATGAGGACATACATTTGATGTGATGATACTGTATGATATTATACTGTGGTGTATTAGAACATAATTTCATGTGATAATACAGTTGGATATCATACTGTAGTG